ATGACGGACAAGTGTTTAAAGACACCCCTATTTCAGTAATAACTGTCCAACCAGGCCAATTCAGTTGTTGTTTGGGCTAGTGCTCTGTATTCAGCCTCTGTAGATATAATGCCACTACTTTTTGCTTACGAGAACTCCATTGAACCAGATTAGGACCTAGGTACACACAATATCCACTAGTACCGTCGATCATCTAAATTACCTCCCCAATCTCATCGGTATAACATTCAACCTTAAGGGAGCTGTTGGTCAAAACAGCAAACCATGGAATTGAGTACCTTTAAGATACCTTAGACTCTTTTACACGCCGCCATTGTAGTTCATTAGAGCCTGAAGATACTGACTAAGTTTATTCACTGTAAAGCTAATATCGGGCCTGGTTAAAGTAACATATTGTAGAGCTCCAATAGTACTTCTATAGAGACTGGGGTCTTTAAACAACTCACTATCAGCTGCAAATAGTTTGGTGCCTGCTGCCATGGGAGGGAGTCATTGTGCCTCTTGCATTTGGTTTTGACAAGTAAATCATGGACATATTTAGTTGTGTTTAAGTGTAGACCTACAGCTACCTGGTTGCTTCTAAGCCCAAATATGTGACAGCCCCAAGAGTTTTTAAGGCAAATTGGCTGTTTAAATCATGAACAAGCGCTGAATTTTAGATGAACTGGAACCAGTTATTAATATGTCATCCACATATATAGAACATATAAAATTTCAGAGTTGTCCTTGAGAACGAACAAGCTGGAATCAGATATTGATTAATTCTGAATCCCTTGTGAACCATTGCTTGTTTTAATTTGCCAAACCAGGCTCGTGGGGCTTGTTTAAGACCATAGAGAGCGTTGTTAGTTTACACACATGGGAAACAAGTGAGAGACTTCAAACCCTTCTGGTTTGTCTCATATAGACTGTTTCATTCAAATAACCATAAGGAAGGCATTGTTCACATCCACTTGTTGTATTCCCAACCATAAGTGACAGCCAATGTGAAAATGATTCGAATTGTTGTTGGTTTGACAACGGGGCTAAAGGTTTCAAAATATCTAAACCAGGAGTTTTGTTGAAATCCTTTAGCAACCAACCTAGCCTTATACTTTTGAAGAGATCCATCAGCATGATACTAATTCGAAACACCTACTTATTACCACCTATGTTCATATCGAAGTCCGAGGAACTAGGCTCCAAGTTTCATTCTTAATAAGACATCGAACTCATCTTGCATGGCCTTTTTCCACTCTCACAACAAGACTTCAATAACTGTACCAGGTTCAGGTTTAACAGGTGAAGACTTGACCAGGGTAAGGGCAGTGGAGATTGAGTTGTTGTTTTGAGATTTGGTGACTGTGGTGGATGTATTAGGTTAGACTGGTTTGTAGTGTAAATTCAGAGGTTTTAGTTACTGGGACAGCTCTAGGGCAAGGGATGGAGGTGCTGATTCTTGTTCTGGTATGGTGTGGTTGAAAGGGACTGGTTGGTGGTGATTGTGGTTAACAGAAGCAACAAGGCAGGTATTTCATTTACTGAAACAGGGTCTGATGAATGGGTAGACCTGGTCAGGGTAAGGCTAGTTGAGGGTAAGACTGGTTTTGGATCTGGTGAGCATAGGATGTGTATTAGTGATCAGAGGCTGTTTGGTAGATTGATTATGAGGAATTTCAGGTGCACAGGTAGGAATTTCAGATTGAATGCACTGTGATGGAGTTAAGTCAACAACAAGAGATGATCATTGAGTTTTTGAGCTGACTGTGTAAAATGTGAAGGTATAGAAGGCTTTGTAATTGTGGAATTGGAAGATGATAGCAAGATAGATCATTTCTAATGGAAATGTATGTGAAACAGAAGATGAAATGAGAGTAGGTAATGAGAAGTATAGATATCAGGGTTGTTAGGTGGAGTTTTTTAGATGGTTTAGGAATATGGACTGTGACTAGAGTTATTAATGTTCTGAAATGAGGAACTAGAAGTTGACTTGTTAGTATGAGAGAAGGATTAGGAACAGAACAATCCACTGCAGAGGAGACTTTGCTGGGTGTACCATTAGAAAGGAATAGAAACAAAAGGAAACAAGTAGAAAGATATGAGGTACTGCTGCTTTGAGTGAAGAAAGACAGGAACTAGACACACGGTTGACTAAAACCAGTAGCAAAAGGGAACTCTAGTTCATTAAACTGAACCCTAGTATATGACAATTTTTCCCTCTAAACTAAGACATTTGTACCCTTTATGACTTAAACTATATCCCAGGAAAACACATTAGAAGAATGAAAATTCAACTTGTGTTTATGAAAATCTCTCAAAAAGGAAAACAAGCACAACCAAGATTTTTAACTCAGAATATACAGGAATTCTATGTGTAAAGAACCTGATATGGTGACACAAAATCCAAAATGGAGCTAGGCATTCTATTAATAAGAAACACAGCAGTATCAAATGCACACCACCAAAAATGTAACGGCATAGATGCATGGCAAATAAGGTCAACCTGTTTCTTGCTATATGTCTGTGCTTCCGTTCACTTCTCCCATTTTGTTGGTGTACATAGGCACAAGAATGTCTAAGTTGGATTCCAGCAATGGTAAGATAAGGAATTAAACCCCTATATTCTCCTCCTTGTGTCAGACTGTAAGATTTTGAGTTTAAAACCAAGTTGTCTTTCAACTAAATGGTGAAATTTGATGAAAGTGGACTGAACTTCAGCTTTGGTTCTTAAGGAACATCCAGGTAACCTACTGTAGCATCAATGAAATGAATGTAATATTTGAAACCTTCTAAGGAAGCTACTGGTGCTGGTCCCCAAATGTCACTATAACTATTTCAAGTGGCTGTGAAGCTCTAGAGGTTGAACTAGGAAAGTGATATCTATGTAGTTTCCTAATTTGCATGCATCACAAAAACCTAATGTGAGACTGGTTCTGAAGGTCTTGGATGAATGTTTGGTAGGATTTTACTTAATACATCAGTAGTGGGTGTCCTAAACGTTATGCCAAAGGGACATGCATTGTTCCTAGTATTACTAGCCTGAAAACTGTGGCAGCATTGTGAACAGAAGAGCTTTTGTCATAGCATAATTTTCAGTATCATTCAACATAGAACAGTATTTGCATTAACATCAATCATAGAATTTTCATTTCTTTCAACATAGATGTAGAATTGTGCATTAGTATTACCCACAGAAGCAACATGCAAAAGAATCAGAATTAGTTTTGTTCAGACTAGAATAATTATCAAGGTCAGAAGTATTATCAAGATTCTACCAGAATATCAACCAAATCAGAGATGTTTATTATTAGCAGAAATACAGAAACATCAGAATAGCAGCAGTAGAACAAACATATCAGACTCAGAATTATCAGGATTTAAACAGAGTGTTCTAACATTGTGTTTTATTAATGAAGTCAGGTAACATCATTTGCATATGAGATATGACTTTGAGTGTTACAAATAATTGTGAACCTTGCATCCTATGATTGTTATACAATAGCATTCATTGGACTGCTAATCAGTTTATTACACTTGACATAGCATCTTGAAAGTTATTCAGAGAACTAATAGACTGAGGCAACCTATGCCTATACTGATTACATACCTACTGGCTTATTTGAAGACAATGTATGACAAAACCTAGAACTCAAAGCAGTTGACTTTTCTAGACCACCAGAAGTGTAACCAGAGGAGAAGCAAGAAGGTATGTGCAATTGGTACACCACCTTAAGTCCTCCCTGCAGTAACACTGCCTTGGTAGCCTTGTCCTTAACAATACAACAATCAGAGTCAAATTCCACAGTTACTTGATTATCTTTAGTGAATCTAGAATACTAAGAAATTTTTAGTTATTCTAGGAACACCAACACGTTACGCAAATGTAAACACTTAGATTGAAATGAATTGGAAACTAAAGTGGAACCTGAGAATATATGGAGAGACTCCCCGTTACCAACTTGTAGTTGCTCAACTCCATCTTAGGGTCTGTGGAAATTAGTTGAGTAGGATCAAGAGTTACATGGTCAGTAGCTCCTGAGTCCATGTACCAGGCTAGATCAACAGGAGCAGTAACTGGAACAGTCATGTGTGTTTGAGGATAATGGTTTGGGGAAGGTGGTTGGTTGACAAGAAAGGCTTGGTTAGGAGCTTGGTTAGGAATTGTATTTTGGTAGGAGTTTTGCTGCTAGGGACAGAAACCCTTGCTGTTGATGATGTAAAAATGGTGTGCCTTGCAGATTGATGTGTTGTTGTTGACTGTGTAAGTTGGAATTTGTAGTTGACTGAGATGGGATCATAGGATCCAGTAGTGGGACCAACAACATGCTGACTTCCAGAATGAGAACTATATGGTCTGGCAGTATTTAATGCTGCTGATTTCCAATCTGAGGTCCATAAAATCCATTATGAAAGGCTGGACTAGAACCACCTTGTCCTGACATGTTACTTGAAGGTACACCAGTGTAAGTAGAATTGTAGCGGTGATAACAGTGAGCCGCTATATGGCCATCTACTGCAAACTTGACAAATAGGCTTGCCTCTGCCATTGTTTTCTCCTTCGCCTCTCCCAAAAACAGTCTGTATGGGAGTAATAATGGCTTGAATTTCCACCAAAATTTCCAAAGTTTGATCCGGATCATTCAAACTAAACTGAGGATAACTCTGAGAACCTATGGGAGATTAGGTAAGCCTTGCAGTTGAGACTGATTATTCGTGATCAAATTAGAAGTACCAATAGTGTAGAGGACCTTAGCATTGATAGGCACTGAATTTTTTCCACTATTTGAATTTTCAAGAGAAGCAACTTGACCGAACCACCATGAAACTCCACAGAATTAAACCTATCAAGCCGCAACTCATATTTTTGCAACAAAAACTGAGCCTCTTGCAAAGTAACCGGATCAACCTAGATTCTACTCTGGAGGTCAGATTGACAACAACAGCGTCAATTCTGGACCTAAACCATCTAAAATATGTTAAGAATCTCATCTGAGATCACTTGACCACTCGCAGACAGGCTTTCAGCAAGCTTTCATTTTCTTAATCAGAATATTCAAATTGCCTTTTTGAGTTATCGAAGCAAATTCTTCAAATGTAGCTCTGGCCTTTGCCTCAGTTACAAAATCAGCTTCTAGCTTAAACCATACTTCAGACAAACTGACATTTTGCAACAAGAGTGAACATGCACTCAGAAATTGAGGCAAGAGCCAGTGACAAGAACACTTGTCATTCGTTTCCAGTTTACATAACTGGATTAAGCTTTTCTTTATCTAGGGTTTCAGATGCTTTACTATCACTCAACTCAATTGAACAAGAAACAGAGCTAATAAAAGGAGCTGGACAGGAATTAACTTGTCAAGTGTTTCGAGTTCATGACTCCTACAGCGAAGAGACTTGCGATCGCCAGAATCGGTAATTATCAGTGTAGCTATCCTCGTCAGTTTGGGAGTGACAACCTGAAGACTTGACGAAAAATTGAGAGCTAAGGATTAGCTGAAACGTTTTGCTTTTCTCATTGAAGCTAGAAGAGAAAGAAAAGAAATTAATTTCTCAGATCGTTGCCGTCTACGCTTGTCTCAGGCTCTGATACCATGTGAAACTGAAAAACTAAACGAGAGAAAATTGAAAAATGCGTGAATCTTTTCTTATTATTCTCAGAGAAATACATTTGTTTATATACAGAGGAAGAGAGAAGAAACTGATGTTAAGAATAAAACTCAGCTAGACGATAAGCTAAAGAGTAAAGTTTTCTTCTCTTCTCAAAACGACGCCGTTCTCTCTTTTGTAGATTTGCAGTTTTACGAAACTGCCCTCTTTTCAGTCTGGCTAACAGACTGTACCAGATTGGATATAATTGAAACATGCTAGAGTGAGTGAATGAGAAATAATGAAATAAATAGCAAGCATTTTACATTATTAAGACAACAAGCTTCAATACAAAATTACATTACAACCACACAACTTGTAAATACAAATTACATAAACACAACTTGCATGATAGAACATATGGTTTGTATGATAGTGAGCACTAGGAGTAAAACTGCTGCAACGGTTGCCGAGCCTTTCCAAAGATTGTTGAAATATACTCTTTTCAAAGTTGCTTTTGTTTTGTTCCATGGATTCTTACAGTGTCCCTTGAGTTTCTCGCAATTGTCATAGTAAGAGGATTTGCTAAAACTGATAAATAGGCTAAGTTTGTTAAACATATTTGCTATTGAAGCATTGTCGCCCATATCATGATTGGAAATAATTCCTTCTCCAACAAGCAAGTCCACATCTTTTTCAGTATCAATAAGATAATTCATTAGCCTAACGTAATTGCAAACATGAGTATTCCATGGGTAATGACATTGCTCCAAAGCCATAACGTTTCGAAGTAGACTTTCAGTGGAGTCGAATATCTTCAAATGTGGTATTTGCATCTCAAGTACTTCAAAACATTGGATTTGTTGCTTTCGTTTTTCCAATCTTATGTCAATTAAGCTATGTTCTCCTTCAAAACACTTAAACTTCACTCCTGACTCATGCAACTTCACTGCACAAGGTAAATCATCAATCCATTGGTTCCTCTGCTCAGATCTTTGGTAGTGTTCTAGTATAGTGATTCTTCTCCAATCGGTTAAATGTTTAACTACCACTTGGGGAGTTAATGTACTCAATTCCAAACCATCGAAACAACCGAAAAAAAAACGTGAAAGCTCCATGAAGGTAGGCATGTTAAGGCCAGCAAGATCAGCTAACTCACATATTTTCTCGAGAATGAAGTATGGAAGTTGATTTTCGAGTAACTGAAAGTCCAAACATAAAGATGCTTTTGCCGATGCTGTAGATAGTAATAAATCACTTACATCAAAACCGAGTTGATCTCTTAATAATAACTCTATGATAAAAATAGCATCATATAGAATCATCATTATATACTCAATGCTCCCAAGTTCAGATGTTTCTGCATAACAATTACGGATGTTTTTCTCATTATCCTTGATAAAGTTTAAAATTTTATCTCGATTCTCTATTGTTATTTGTTCAACAAAACTTTTCACATATTGTCTTTTTATCTTTTCCATGTTAGCTAATTCTTCTTTTCCATGGTGAAGAGGACCTATTGAAATTAATTGAGGTGTGTAGGCTTCTTCATTTACGCTACGAAGATATTTAGGAACCCTATAAATACAACACCGACGAGCATCAAGCTCAGGCTCCAAGTTTTTATCAATGTCAATTCGCAACTCTTTGACCAAATCCTCAAGTTTAACCAACTTCTTTGCCCTATAGACAAGTTTAAAGAAACCACTTATCTCCAACTTCTTTGCCTATTGACAAATCATATTGACAATAATTGATAACAATAAATAGATAAATGCAACACTTAAAATAATCAACCCTCAGAAGAAAATCACGTTGCATGCATGAGGTAATTATTTCTATAAATAGCTTTCGGAATAATATGCAATCTCTCATTAATCAAAAATAAATATTTTATATTAATATCACTTGCGAAAATTTAAAACAAAAATATGTGGGTAGAGATTGCTGGAACGAATACCCCTCACATAGAATGTTGGAATTGGGAAGAATTGACTATTTATATTTATAATGGTGATATGGAATAATTGTCATACCAAACGTTTGAAAAGGAACAAAATGCATGTTATAATCCAAGTAATTGATGAGAATCCAATGAATTCATATCAGTAATACTATGCATTTAACAATATAATACTCTAATTAACACAAGGTACAATTAGCTAACCCATATCCATTGTATTCTATATATATTATAAACTAAAAAGGTAGATTAAAAAAGTATTGTACCCTTTTATATACTTTAATTATCTGAATAATAATTACTCTAAACCCCACCACCAATAGATTGATCGCCAACTTTGATTACATTGGTGTTGGAGGTGTCGTTTTACTCACTGGAAGTTTTTTCCACTGTCGGAATCCGACAATAGCATTAATTTTGAATTTGATTGACGGAAAAAAAAAAAAAAAAGAACAAGATAAATAAGCAAATGAAAATTAAGTGCATGCTTGTGTAGTTTTAGTAAAGGTTAAGAGCAGCATGAAGATGATAGTATCCTGACCTGATCAGTTGATTTCATCCTCTCGAAAGACACAGCTACCTCACAGCATAGCAGGGATGTGTTATGTAACTGTGGTGTATCTCTCTGATCTCTCTTTCATAGTATGTTTTCTCTTCTGCTTCCTCGCTGTAATTTATATGCACACTTCACACATGTTTAATTTGAAAGAATCTGGCACAGTTAAAAACCAACGATACCATAAAGTGGGTTAATTTTAAATTTAACAACTTTTAATTGTTGAATGTATTGGGTTTTGTTATGTGTTAAAATATTGAATGAAAATGATGTGTGGTAGTCAAAGTATATATGGTTTTTGTTGTGAAAACTTCTTGATGAATAACTATATATTTGGTTGCATTGTCGGAAATACGGACGAAAGAAAGGAAGTGATACTTGGTTTTATTCTTATTCCCTTTTGATTTCAGATATTGCTCTTTAGTATAAATCAAAGTCTTGTGAAGTTCTTTACCAATTCTAATTTATTCTTGTCTTGCTTTTCCTTTTTTTCTCTTTAATTATTAAAGTTCCCGAATTTCTTTACCAATTCTAATTTATTATTGTCTTACTTTTTCTTTTTTTCTTTTTTCTCTTTAATTATCAAAGTTCTTATCAATTTTTCTTTTGAATTCAAATAATTTATTCTTATGGGCTTGAGTAGAAGCCAAACCCCAAAACTATTTAACAATGATAAGCGGGTTTGGGTAGAAGCGAAGCCCAAAAACTAGCTTAAGTTATGATACACGGGCTTGCTTATAAGTCATTTCCAAAAACTAGCTTAAGAAATGAGTGAGTCAAATATCTATAGTGGGACAAACAAATACAACTTCTAACAAACATAGAATAACATGCTTTGTCATGTATGACTAGTGTAAAATACATTTTACTATGATTTCTAAAATAACTAAAAAAAGCTTTTAATTTCTTTCCCATATTTTTTTTATTCTTATAATTGTAATTCGAAAATCATTCGTTGAATAGTGGAAGGAGGAATAATTTGACTTCAATTTTACTTATCCAGTCAAATAGTGCCCAACTATGGATAATATAATAGGATATGATAAATGCATTATAGTATTTTGTAAAATTCACAACAAAAAATGAATAAAAATACGCGCTTGATTTTAGAAAATATCTAGTATAATATAATATGATACCAAACATCTTATATAATTATGATTTGAGATCAAGATCCTGTTTTGATCTGATCACCTGAGCTTTAAGGATCTCATGACAATTATGTATTTGTAAATTTTTGTATTAGACGTAAATGTAATAGGTTTTGTTATGTGTTAAAATATTGAATGAAAATAATGTGTGGTAGTCAAAGTATATATGATTTTCGATTGTGAAAACTTATTGAGAAATAACTATATATTTGGTTGCATTGTGGGAAATACGGACAAAAGAAAAGAAGTAACACTTGGTTTTATTCTTATTCCCTTTTGATTTCACATATTGCTCTTTAGTATAAATCAAAGTGTTGCGAATTTCTTTACCAATTCTAACTTATTCTTGTCTTGCTTTTTCTTTTATCTTTTAATCTTTAATTATCAAAGGTCTTCTCAATTTTCTCGAATTTCTTTACAATTCTTATTTATTCTTTGTCTTGCTTTTTCTTTTTTCTCTTTAATTATCAAAGTTCTTATCAATTTCCCTAATTTATTCGTAGGATATGATTTCATTCATTCTTTAACATTGATAAACAAGCTTGGGTAGAACTCAACCCAAAAAATAATTGACATTGACAAATGGGTTTGGATAGAACTCAAGACCAAAAACTAGCTTAAGCCATGATAAACAGGCTTACATAAAAGTCACTCTCAAAAGCTAGCTTAAGGGAGGAGAGAACTAATCACATATATACACTATAACAATCCATCAAATTGGTAATTTGGAACAAACAAATACAACTTCTAACAAACATATAATAAAATGCTTTGTCATGTAGGATAGGTGTAAAATAGATTTTACTATGACTTCTAAAATAACTAAGAAAAGCTTTTAATTTCTTTCCCATATTTGTTTTATTCTTATAGTTGTAATTCGAAAATCATTCGTTAAATAATGGAAGGAGGAATAATTTGACTTCAGTTTCACTTATCCTGTCAAATAGTGGCCAACTATGGATAATATAATAGGACACGATAAATGCAATACAATTTTATATAAAACTCACAGCAAAATAAAAAAAATAAAAAATAAAAAATAAGCACTTGATTTTAGAAAATATCTAGTATAATCTAATATGATACCAAGCATCTTATATAATTATGATTTGAAATTAGGATCCTCTTTTGATCTGATCACCTGAGCTTTTAAGGATCTCATAACACTTATACATTTTTATTTATTTATGGTTAAGAGTTTTTTGTTTAGTATATTCATATTTTGTAACTACCAATCACAAATTTTTGAAAGCTCAGAGATGAGCTTAGATTAAGAAAGGATCTTGGTCTGATTGGATTAACAAAGAAACCTTCAAGCCAGTTGAGTAATGATATAATATATAAGATACGGTACCCACGCTTCATAATAAGAGTTTCCTCCACCAAAACATAGAAACTAATTAAGCCAATAATGGGTTGTGTTACCAATAACGTGAATGAGGTTGCAGGATCAAGGGAGATGTCATACATTTTTTATTTTATATAACAAAAAAAGAATGTGGATTTATCCAAGGCTGCAGCAAAGGGTAACATTGAACCCTTTAAGGAATTACTAAAAGCACCAATAATTAATCCATGTGCAAGTTGTGTTATTAAGACAACAAGCTTCAATGCAAAATTACAACTACATTAACACAACTTGCAAGATAGAACATATGGTTTGTATGATCGTGAGCAGTGTTGGTCAAAGGACGAAAATGCAAAAAATACAAGTAGCAGAAGAAAAAGGTAATTCTGCAAGACGGTGTAGTTTTGACTTTAGTAAAATCAGTTGTATAATAAGCTGTACTTTACAAACTTTACTCCTTGTCTTTGTATTCATATAAAAGAGTAAAGTTGTTTTCTTTACTGTACACTCTGTAACGAATCCAGTTATCAATTGAAAGAAAATCAAACATATTCCTCTCTGTTTTTTCTGCTTTGTTCGCAAACCCTAAGCTAATTTTACAGTAGGAGTATAACTACCGCAACCATTGTTGTGCCTTTCCATAGATTGTTGAAATTTACTCTTCTTAGAGTTGCCTTTGTTATGTTCCAAGGATTGTTATAGTGTTCCTTGAGTTCCTCGCAAATGTCATAGTAAGAGGAACAACTCAAAATGTTAGATTGAGTAAGTTTGTTAAACATATTTATTATTGAAGCATTGTTGCCCATAAGATTGGTAATTAGTCGATTTCCAATAAGCAAGTCCACTTCTTTTTCAATATCAATAAGATAATCCATTGGTCTAATGTAATTGCAAACATGAGTATCCCACGGATAATGACATTGGTCCAGAGCCATAACACTTGTAAATAGACGTCCAATATTGTCATATATTCGTAAATGTGGTATTTGACACTCCTGCTTTTGCTTTTCAAATCTTATATCAAGTACGCTGTGTCCTCCTTCCATACACTTGAACATCACTCCCAACTCATGCAACTTCACTGCAGAAGGTAAATCTTCAACCCTTCAATTTGATGGCTTTGATCTAGGATAAGTTTCAAGTAGAGTACTTCTTCTCCAATTGGTGAAAATTTTTAACTATCAATAGGGGAGTTAATCTAATCAACTCTAAACCTTGAAAAAAAAACTAAAGAAAGAACAAGAAAGCTCCACCAAGTTAAACATGTCTGAGCCAACGAAAGTTAAATTATGTATTTCCTCAAGGACAAAATATGGAAGTTGATTTTCGAGTAATTCCAAGTCTGTGGATAAAGTATGTCTTACTNAGGAAAGAATTAAGAAAAATAGTTACGGGGTTAGACAAATAGAGGGTTTACTTACTGAGCATTATTTTGTGCTCACCCCGTCATTTTTCTTTGTGGATACAGGATCTAGGTGATGATGCAGTCGGAGGTGTGTCGGCAAGCGAGGAGTAATCGTTCACTGTTTCCCCTGTTTTTGTATTTTTTAATGGCATTTTGTAAATCATGCTCTTTGTGTATAAAAGACTTAGTACATATAATAAAAAGAAAAGTTTTGGGCCCATTTTCTATATTATTATGCAAGCATTTTGCTAGTTTACAACTGTTGTTATAGTGTAGTGTCTCTTGTTCTAGAAATGAGTCAAAATGTATTCCTATTGAATCGCATGTCTGTTCTACTGTTAATACTAATGAAATACATGCTGCTGAATTCTCATTTGAGTCTCCTACATCAATGGTTGACAACTGTGTTAATTGCTTTGTTAATACTTGTTCTACTGTTCACACTAATGAAATACATGATGATGAATCATTATTTAAGTCTACTGTCTCAAAGGTTGAAAACAATGTTTAATGCCCTGTTAATGAACAATTGTCTGCTGTTGTTTTTTCAAATGTTGGTTCCACACCAAATTGCTTGACTGTTGACAAACACTCACACTAACACATGATTTGGCATAAAAGATTGGGTCATCCCAACTCTACTACATTACATAAAGTCTTCTCTACACTTTTCAAATCTGTTTTTCTTACTGAAAATCAGAATGTGCTTACCAAAGTGTCTAGTTTCTGTGATGCTTGTCAGCTAGGAAAGTTACATCAAAACAGTTTGCCCTTGTCTCAATCTCATGCCACAGAACCCTTAGCTCTTGTACACAGTAATGTGTGGGGTCCTGCCTCAGTCACTTCAGTAGAAGGATTTAAGTATTATGTGCAGTTTCTAGACGATTTTAGTCGGTTCACCTGGCTGTTTCCCCTTAGGACTAAAGCTGAAGTTAAATCCACCTTTATCAAGTTTCATCACCTTGCTGAGAGGCAGTTTGGAACTAAAATGAAGTGCCTTCAGTCAGATCAAGGAGGTGAGTACAAATCCTTACTTCCTTATCTGATTGAAAATGGTATTCAAACTAGGTACTCATGTGCCTATGTCCACCAACAAAAT